TAAATGACTTTATAATTTACCATCCCAACCAGGACCCCTGAACACTAAAGTACATGTTGTTCAGTACTCCACAGGCTTAACTCAGGACACACGGCCGCTTGGAGCAGTATGAGTTATTAATTAGGGCATGCACCCAGCCTGGACTATATAGTAAGCAGAGGTAAGAGAGCCCTCCCACTCTAAAGACCACGCTCCTTTGCGTGCTGCTAGTGCACCAGGGCACAGGCACAGCTGGGCATGACCATGGTGACCAGGGCCGATTGCCTACTGCCAGCTCTATCTAGAATGTGTGCCCACCAGTTGTGCCTGGATACGGGGCTAACACCCAAGGGACTTAACATCAAGCCCTTCAGGAAGCCTTTAATACCCCGCAGACACACATCTTTCTGGCCCACAGTCTTTATCCCCAGGCTTTCCAGTACCCCTCCAGTCTTCCTGGGCCAACAGGGAAAAGATGGGTGGGCAAGAAGGATGGCCCAGGACCAGGAAAACCAAAGATGTCTTCTAGAGGCCCCTGAAACTTGAGGCCTGAGTGAGGGCTAGCAGCACCTGCCCCTCACCAGGCAAAGGGCACCTTGCGATGTTCTTGCATGACATAGTGGTCGTCATTTTGGGGCAGAGCTCGCATCAGTCCGAAGTCCCCGATCTTGACCAGGTCACGAGTAGCCAGCAGCAGATTTCGGGCAGCCAGGTCACGGTGGATAAAGCGCTTGGACTCCAGGTAGCCCATGCCTTCGGCCACCTGTACAGCATAGCGGCTCAGAGTCCCCAGGAGGAAGTGACCCTGGTGCTTCCGCAGCCGGTCCAACAGGGATCCAAGGGGTGCCAACTCCGTGACCTGAGGCAAAAGACACAGCAGGAGAGTGGCTGAGGAGCCAGTGTCAGTGCCAGCCAGCTCCTGGTGCCACCCCTGAAAGCTGCGTGGCCACACTCAGTGCTCCTTCCCGACCTGACCTCCAAGGACCTGTGGGAGCCCCATGGCTTTCCAGACAGAAACAGCCCCAGGAGACTCAGGCTACAAGTTCCAAACATGAAATCAAGGGCCAGCCCTCCTATGGTGCAGCTCTGTAAAATACGGGTGACAACCCTGGCCTAGGCCCAGGAGCCCTTCTGTCCATGCCAGCCTCAGCCCTTCAGGTCCCCAGCACTCACCATCTTCATGGGCGGTGTGAGCACTACACCATAGAGGCGGATGAGGTTTCGGTGGTCAAGCGAGTGCATGGCGTTGACCTCCCGGATGAAGTCATCCATGGCCTCAGGCTGGCTCAGTACGTCAGGCTTCAGGCACTTTACAGCCACACTCACCTGCCAATGCACAGGGTAAGGTCTCCTCTGAAGCTGCTTCTCAGGTCCCAACACAGCCCAGGGACACCACTCCCCCAGCTCTGCTCAGGCCTTGGGGCCAGTACAGCACCAGGGTTGGGAGTTTGAGGAGCCCAGGGGTGGACCCTGGGGCTGTCAGTTGGGCCTCCCCTTTCTGGGGCAAATCCCAGTGGCAACAGGAGCTAAGAGGCATGAGGCATGACAACAGGACACTGACAGTGTGACAAATATAATGCCAGACTCGATGGTACTATCATAGGGACGGGGTCTCCCATGAAACAAAGTGAAGCTGGGTGGCAGGGAGAGGCCTAAGGCAGCTTCCAGGGCACTGGCAATGCTGTTCTCTTGCCTCAGCCTCCCAGACTGCTGGGGTCACCGCATTTGGCTTCCCACACCACCTGTCTCTTGACCTTCTGTGCAGGTTGGCACTGCTGGCTTGCCTGTGTGCCTAGTGATGTACATTAGCCCAGAGGGGAAACAAGGATGAGATTTGAAGAGCTACATCCGAAATGTGCATCCTAACTGAATCCAGCTAAGTGCCCAAGCAAGGCAAGGCAGGAACACTAGCTGCCTCCTCCCAGCCTGAGTGGGCTCCAGGGTGAGCCAGGCTTCCCATTCACATCCAGCAGGGTCAGGAGGAGTTCAGCCACCCCTGGGCTCCTTCTGATGGCTGCAAGTGGGAACAGAGCTCACCGTCTTGCCCGAGGGTGCATCCCATTCGCCCCTGCGCACCACACCAAAGGAGCCATCCCCCAGCTTCTCCAGGAGGCGCAGGTCCTTGTCCCCAATGAGGCAGGTGAGGCTCTGTAGGGGCCCCTCGCTGGTAGGGCCGCCTGGGGTAGGCGAGGGCTTCCGGAAGGTGCTCTGGGAGTGGTGAGGGGGGAACTCAGACTCCAGCCGCTTGCCACTGAACACCTGTTTGGAGGCAGCCAAGGGCCAGGTGGAACCTGGGCGGCTAGTCCCTCAGCCCCAGTCCCACCCCACTGGGTCCACCCAGTGTTCCCCAGCTCTGCGTGGGACAAGCCCCGCCTTGGCCTGGCTGCTGAAGGTTCTACCCTTCCAGTGAGGGCCCACAGCCTCCAAGTGGGTGAAAGGCATGCATTTGTGGCCCCCACCCAGCTGTGGCCAGGGACAACCCAGGGACAGCCAGGCCCTGCTCTGTGGTCTGAGCCTCTGACCCACCCCTCCCTTCCTGGGCCCCACACAGCACAGACACTGGTCCAGAGCTTCAAAGATGGAGCAGGGGCCCGGGCCCTCTGCAAACACCTCCTGTCCATTTTTAGCACTGTCCCCTTCCCTGGGCGACCACTTGGCGCTGTCTGTCTCTCCTCCCCAGGAGTCGGCTGCCCTTCATCCACCCAGGGGAAAGGATAATTTTAGTCTGAGGCTGAGCGCGCTGTGTGTGTGTGTCCCTGCAGGGCCTGGGAAGACAGCTGCAGGTCTGGAGGGACGCCGAGCACCAACGGCTGAGAAGAGGGAGACTGGAGGAGGCGCCAAGGCCTGGCTGGACAGGGCGGGGCTGAAGGTGGAGGGGCAATGAGCTGGCCACCTCCCTAGGCCGCAGCCAGTCTCCCCAGGACACTGTTCTTGCCTCCTGGAGGCTCAGTGTCCTCTATGGATACAAGGGGCAGCTCAATCGAGGATCTCTGTTGCATCCTTCCTCCCAGTAATACAATTCCTTGTACCTGTGGACAAGGTCCAGCTTCCACAGTCCTTTCCTGTCTCTGCATGGTGAGCTGGCCAGAGAGGCCAATGGCACTTTATGGAAGCAGTGACTTAGGCCAGGGAGGGGTGTTGGCCACCTCGAGGCCTCCTGCAAGCTAGCAACAGGATCAGAACTGGTCAAACTGCTGCTATCGTGGCTTTGCCGGCCCCAACACACTCATCTTTCCCTGAAACCTGGGCAGGGAACCAAGACTGTGTCCCCAGAAAAGGCCACAGGATCCCAAGAGACAGCCCCTTCGCTGGCTGGGCCAGCCAAGCTCTCCTGCCCAATCCCCACCAGCTATTCTGTTCTGCCACCCCAGCCAGGGCCAGGCAGGGAGGGAGGGAGGGAGAAAGGTCCGGCTGGTTCATTTCCTCTCTCATTGTCTTCCAGACAATGGGCAAAGTTCCACTGAGTCAGAGCAGGGACTGCTGCACCACATACTCAATTGAGGACAGCAGTAGGGGGTGGGGAGGAAGCTGTCAGGGGGGCCAGTGACCAGAGCAGCCCAGAGAGTGAGGAGCTGGGCAGGGGCCCAAGGCAGATGTCCAGTCGGCCCCGTCCCCCTGCTGGACCCTGGCTGCAGTGTGCACAGAAAGCCCCAGGGAGGCACCCAGGCTACTCCCAGTAAGACACTCAAGCAGCCACTGACACACAAGTGCCCAGTCTAATAAGACCTGGAGGAGGGAGGCCCAGACCTTGTACAGGCACACAGTGAGACCACAGCCACCTCCTGGGGAGGGCAGGGCACCTGGCACTGCCACTCGGGACTCTGGCCACCCTACCCACCTTGCTCATCCAGGACTTGCGCTTGCACAGGGCCTTCCTTCTCTTCACAGCCTCCCACAGCCGCCGCTGGCCTGCACAGAGGGAAGGACTGGCACTGCTATGCTTCACAGCACCCCCCGCTGCTGGCCACCCATGCTGCAGCTTCTGGGGTCCCCTGGGGAAGCCCACGCTAGATCTGCCCAGCATGGTAATGCCAACTAAACTAACCTCAACAAAACAGTACTGCCATTTGGCAGACAGTTATGCCACCCTACTTCCCATGGTGGTCCCCCAACTAGGTGGGGGAGTCTCATTGCAGAATTAAATAGTCCTAGGGGGCCGGGGAGATGGCTCAGTAGAATAAGTGCTTCTCTGGCAAGCACAAGGGCCTGAGTTCAATCCCCGGTTCCGCAAAAAAAAAAAAAAAAAAAAAAAAGAAATAATCCTGGTGCTTTCCAACTTGCCAGAAAGATCAAGGTAATGGATAGAACACTCTCAATTTGAGTCGTTTTCCTGTGAATTTTCTTATTCTACTGTCATCAGTTACCAAGGATTCATGACAAAAGTACCATTTGTTGGCATCTGACTTAACAGGTAACTGACACTGAAGTTAAATGCACTGATAAGTTTCTACAAGAACAGACAAAAAGACTTCTAGGTGCTAAAACCACTGTTTTAACAGTAAATACAGAGAAGTTGGCTCAATTTAGAAGAGGGGAGGAGAGGGAAGGATGAAGAAGCCATGGAAAGCCTGTCTTCTTTCCCCCACCACTCTGCAGATTCAGGACTCTGCTTATGAACAGGGAGGGGAGGAAACACTTCACACAAATGTCTAATCAGATGAACAGGTGCAGATGATCCAGGGGACTAAAGCTGTAAAATCCCAAGCCCCCTAAATTCCAATTTACCCCCATGACTGCACAGGCTCCCAGCAACCCCAGGCAGTATCCACAGGCGACAGGCAGCAGTGCTCATCTGCCACCTGTGGATCACAGGGTGGGGTTCTCCCAGCCGCCCAGGAATAGAGGAGGTGAGCAGTGGGCAGGAACAGACAGCAAACCTGTATCCCACCTACCAGGCCGGCCCATGCCGATCTTCTCCAGGTCCTCGTTCTTGACATACTCAAAGTGAGACAGGCGGGTCACGTTGAGGTCATCGCGGAGCCGCAGGAAGTACTGCTGAAGCTGCACCTCAGACAGGAGCTCCAGCAGCCAGCCTGTGCCCTCCTCCGGCTGCATGCTGCTGCTGCCCAGCCTCTGCAGACAGGAAGACAGCACACGGCTCAGGGGTGAGGATGGGCTGGCAGGGGTGCTGGCTCCTAGCACTGCAACACAGTGGGGCTGCCTGGGAGGGTGTGACCTCCCCTCCTGCTCCCCAAGTGGATGACCACACTTGCCCCCATTCCTATGAGTGGCAGGGTAAATGGAGCGTGGTGAAGAGACGATGCAGGGCTGAGCCCAAGCAGCCAGGAGATCACCACTCCTGAGATCACCACACTGCAGATTTCCTGCCTGCCTTTAAAGCCTCCTGGCGTCCCATGCCTTTTGATAACCTCATTAAAAAGTTATCAGTTATTTCTCCAAGAAGACAGTGACATTCTTATTCCTAACTTTCTAATTAGAAATGGTGGGGCATTGTAATGTCCCCTGAAACCCATCCATAGCCCCCTCAAATCAGACAAGACCTCCCACTGCATGACATCCAATCCAAAGACCTCTCCAGAAACCACCAGCACAGGGCCACAAAGGCTCAGATAAGATGTCCATTGTCTCAGTAACAGACATCTGAATTCACAGGTGAAATCTTACCTTTCATTTTTTTAAAATATAGCACAGGCCAGACATGGTAATGCGCACCAGTAATCCCAGCACTACAGGAGGTCTGCTGAGAGTTTGAAACCAGCCTGGGCTACTCCAAAGTGCGTTCAAGGCCAGCCTGAACTGCACAGTGAAACCATATATATAAAATGCAGCATATGCTAAAATGGAGGCACATGGAGCCTAATTACTTCCTGTGTACACAGCCCCTAGCTCCCTAGCCTAGAGCCAGCTGCTGACTATAATGTCTTTAAAAAAAAAAAAAAAAAAAGACAGGATCTCCCCTTGTAGTTCAGGCTGGCCTTAAACTTTGTAGACCAGGGTGGCCTTGAACTTGTGGCAGTCCTCCTGCCTCAGCCTCCCAAGTGCTAAGATTATGTGCATGTACCATCACACCTGCTCCAATGACAGCTTTTGTTATCCTTTAAGACACAGTTTACCCTTACATATTCACATTATCCTTGCTATCCACTCTGTTCCTGGATTTCACTTGACTTACATCTTTCTCCTAACCTTAAATGGTGTTACCTAGTTCAAGTTTGAGCACCTCTAACCCCCTCAAAAAAATCCATCTTTAGGCTGCAATTAGGCAGTGGGTATCGGTGAGTGATCTTGAGCCCACCCTCTCTTTGGTCCAAAGAAAAAGGTCAGTGGCATCTTTCAAGCTAAGCCACCTGACCCACCAGCTACCAAATACATCCTTGTTCCATCTCAGATTTGAGGTTTTGCCAGGTGACCCCAGCTCCTTTGCCATCAAGGAAGACCAGAGAGAAGAGACCAGCTGCCGGGCTGGGGGTCAGAGCTCCCCAACACAAGCTAAAAGTGGTCTTCTCCTGACTCTCATCTCAATAGGATGCACCCAGGAAGCCCAGGCCCAGCAAAATCCTCCCACCGCAGCTCCCAGGGGTCCTGCCAACACAGTCCCTGGAGCCCAGTGTTTCCCAGGCAGCTCAGGGCAGCACAAAGAGTGACAAACGCCACAAGAAACATTCTGTTCAAACCCTGGCTCTTCCACCAAGGTGACTGGGCCAGGCAGCTGGGCCAGCTGGGGGTTCCAAGCTTTAAGCTATAGTAGCCCTTTATTGGATAGTTCTCTGGGAGGGTGTCATGCCCCTCTAGGGGACATGTTTAGTGGTCATAATGGCTAGCGGGGGGCCAGCTCAGCATTTTTATTGAAGGGCTAGGGATAAGAATAAGAATTATCTGGCAAGGCACAGGATAGTCTCAAACATTAGCCCAAATCCCATACAATGTAATTCAGACAGGTAAAAACTTCCATATGATCATCCGCACCAGAATCAAACTCCATTTTACATGAGTAAGAAAACATTTCGGTGGTTTTAACATGCACTGAGTGTTCTTGGAATGGTAACTGGTAAACTGAGGGAAAACTGGATTTTGGATTATCCCAAACAAAGCACAAGTCCGTGCTTCAGAAAAACACAGGTGAGGGCAATGGCCTTGTTTCCAGTGGCCCTGTCCCTCTCTGTCAGCACCTGTGCACACTGCCTTGGTGCTGTCCTGCATGAGACTTGGGGTTTGGCCACTTCTGCCTATTACCTGGAGCACAGGCGGGTCAGAATGCACAATGTGCTGTATGCTACTTTTCTTTCATTTCTCCTATGTATTATACTAGAGTGTGATGGTGACTGACTCTACACACAGAGATTATGCTTTAAATTTTTAAAAAATCTTTTATTTGGTGCAGGGTCTCGCTACACAGCTCAGACTCATAGTGATCCTCCTGTCTCACCTCCCCAGCACTGGGATTACAGGCGTGCACCATCATGCCCTGCTTTGGTGGCCTGCACTGCGTGCCCAGGGCTCTGGGGCCGGCACACATGTAGTACCCCGGGTCCTTGCGCTTGCTAGGAAGGCACTTAGATCACTGAGCTATCTTTCCCAGTCCCAAAGGTTAGGCTTTTTAGTTTTAAAAAGGTAATTAAAAGGGGCTGGGGAGATGGCTTAGTAGGATAAGCGCTTGACTGGCAAACGCAAGGATCTGAGTTCAATCCCCGATTCCACAAAAAAAATAAAATAAAATAAAATAAAATAAATAAAAAGGTAATTAAAAACAACAGCTAAGGCCAGGGAGATAGAACAACAGCTTAAGTGGCTGCCTGGCAAGTGCAAGGTCCTGAGTTCCATCCCTGGTATCAAAAAAAAAAAAAAAAAAAAAAAAAAAACCCAGCTAATATTTAAAGGCTATATTCACTATATGCAGTTCCAAACATTCAGCTGTTTTAACTCATTTATCCTCAGCAAAAACATCTGTTTACAAAAACAAGCAGCAGCAGCAGCAGCAGCAGCAGCAGCAGCAGCAGCAACAGCAGCAGCAGCACAGTACTAAAGCCCATGGTGCTCTGTGCTTCCCAGAATGAAGCTCAGAGATACACTGTGAAGTTCATGCCTGGACAGACGGTGCCAGCCAGCATTTCTACTACCACTGCCCTGTCCTGCAATCAGGAGACCCTGTAGGTGATGAGGCTCTACAAGATGGAGCCCCTATTCCCCACCAAGGCAAGCAGAGTACAGGACAGCTCTGCTCCAGTCCAGGCTCTTGATCTTACCCTGTTCTTGGTGCCTGCGAACACTCAGATCCCTGCCTTAGTGGCCAAGGCTGGGGGCCCCCAGGAGTCCCTCCCCACTCCCCAAACCCAGAACAGGGCTGCTGCACAGAGGCCAGGTAGGAAAAACCCAAGATAGCTGACAGTCAGTCCCTTCCCCACACTTGCACAGTGCACACCCACTGCAGCCTCCCCAGGGTTGGTCCCCAGCCCCTGGCCTACGGTCCCTGCACACCTGCAGCCAACACATGACTGTGCAGGTGTGAAAAGCTAACACATATACCTTCTAACATACGTACCAATGAGACCAACGAGAACAAACAGAAAGGCCCCTCTGCTCCCATGCCTCATGGATCCACCACCAAAAAGGGAGGTGTCCCTCAGCCGCCCCGGTGGTCCCTCTGCCCCACAGAAAGCAGAGCCAGCCCCACTCACGGTGTATAGCTGCCTCCGCAGCCTGGCCAGGAAAGGGAAGGACAGCTCCAGGCCGGGGAAGCGACGGGCTGCTGCCGGCATCTCCACAGAGATGATTGCCCCGAGGGTCACTGGGGCCACGGCCCAGGAAGTGGCCGAGCAAGGGCCTCCACTCCTGAGCTTTATGCTGTGTCTGGAGGGAGGCTAGCCAAAGTCTGCTCCTGGAGTCCCCCAAACACCACTGTGGGGGTGGGAAAGGAGGCAGAAGAACAGAATGGCCCCTCTGCGTGGCTGCAGGCCTGACCAGGCAGCCTGGGTCCTCTGTCCTGTTCTGTCTTCTTCTCCAGGCAGTAGCCAGAGCTCCAGCCCAACTCCCTGGCTCCCCCACCCGACTGTACCGCCTTCCTCCTGCCTTCCTCCTCCCTCCCTCCTCAGCTGAGCAGCTCTCTCTGACACTGGCTGAAAAAGGACCTTTCTGAATCCCTGCCAAGAGGAAAGGGGGGGGCACTCTTCCTCCCAGCCCACCCCCCTCCCCAGGCCTCCCCGCACACAAGACAAGGCCCCCTGTCTCTGCCTCCACTGCAGCCTCACAGTTGCAGGGCAGATCTTGGGACTGCAGGGTGGGGGCCCAAGATTCCCAGAGCATGAAGAAGGGCTGCAGGCCCACAGGGGCTTGTTGGGGCTGTGTGGGTTAGAACATAGCCCTGATTGGGGGGCAGGACCCCATAGTCTTCCGTGGACACTGCAGACAGATCTTTGGAGATTCCCAACTACTACCACCATGTCCAAGGCTTGGCTGGATGTCTCCTGGCTCAGACCCTAATGTGGCCGTTTCCCTGGTGCCTGACGGAAATAGGAGGCCGGCAGCCTGCCAGCATGGGCAGTCCAGACAAGAGCCAGGGTGGAGTGGGAGTAAAACTCTCTGCCCCCTCCCCTGGGGCTGCCTCTCTCCGGCCCACATCAGGGTGTCACTGCCTCAGGCCAGCTGGCCAGATTCAAACCCTTCCAAAGCAATACACCTTGAGACCTCTGCAGGTGCACCCACCCCAAATCTGCAGGACCCCAGACTGCAGACAACATCTAGCAGAGAAGCCCACCACAGATGACAGGCTCGGCTGAGAGGACTGGAAATGCTATGGGAAGCCCCACAAACCCCCACATCCCATGAGCTGACAAATGGTTCCCCTGCCCTTCCTCAGAGAGCACCAGCTGCTCTTGAGACTCCCCTCGTTCTAAGCCCCAGACACACCTGACAGCTGCCGGAAGTCCTTCCTGCTCTGGCCCACAGCCCTGCCTAAGGAGCCCCTGTTTCTCGAACACTACTCTCTTGTCCCTATCCAGCTGGCGAACAGTTCAGGGAGCTCCAGCTGGCCTGCAGGGTAGGCAGGTGGGGTGAAGTTTTGGGGAGTCGGCACCCCAGGCTTTCTTCCAGTGCTAGGCCTCCTTGGGGAGTCTGAG